ATCGTGCAAATATATAGAACACCTAGACATGCTACAACAGACAGATGGCAGAGGTCAGTTAGCTCACCTCTTGAGTTGCGCACATTTACATCCTCATTGGTTTTCAACGGGTTTCCACCACAAGCAAAGCAAGTTGGGAGTGCTGCACGCAAGCAGCTCTCCGCCTCAAGATTCCTTCCCTGTATGAGAGCAATCATTTCTTCATTAGCCTTTTATTTGTTTCTAACTGTTCCACTTCAGGGGTAACACACACAGTTTATTTGGGTACTCTTAATTACAAAAGGGAGATTGTGTGCCCTCTTCGCCAAAATGAATGTCTCTCTCAGCCTCCCAGAGGGCAACAGCAGTGAAGACTCGGACTGGATCTGATTGCATTTCCCACAATTGATGAAGTTATCGAAAATACTGACCAGAATGACTCAGACCTTATCTCGCTGGTGCGCGGCTGTGAAGTCTTTAAACTGTGTCTTTCACCCTTGAGCTGAGGGGGATTAAGAGGAGAAATGCCTTTATTTCCTATTTGTTAGTTTCTTAGATTTTCGTTTTCCTTTGTAGGAGAAGCCCGGGGGTAGAAAGCTCAGTCATGATGAATTACATGCAGTGCTGTTTCTCTCTCCAGATGGCCTTCAGGAGGCATTGCCACTCTTCAGGATCTTTTCATTTTTCGGGGGGCTTTATTAAACAGGGCGATGGAATCGGCTTCCTCTGGTTGATTCAGAAATGTCAGGGTTGACTACAAAACCACTACAAAAGAAGAAACGTGGCTTTTTGTTTGTCACTGTCACCTTGAACATCATATCTGGGATAAGACCTGCCGAAAAAAGGGACCACCTGCACATGCTTGCAAACATCTAACATCCAACTAACAAATAGTGCGGCTTGTCTGCATCCTTCAGAGATAATCCAGGGATTATTGGTATATAGCGCAGGGAAAAGTGACTGTAAAGTAATTATTCATCAGACTATAATTCATCAGCATTTAAAGGAATTGTTTGACATTTAGGAAAACATTGTTTATTGCTTTCTGTCAGAGAGGTCTATAGATTGCGATGCCTTTAAGCAGAGCTAAGCTAGCTAACGCAAGGTAGGCTAAGCTAACCACCCGCGAACGCTTCCACTTTCTTCCACTTTCTAACAATTCAGCCCTTAAGCAAACAGAACATTTATCGGAGCCACCAAATAAATACTTACATTATTTTAAAATCATAAATATCTCAATCGTGTTTTGTTTCCTACTTTGAGAAATGAAATCATTGACTGGGACCTTTTAGCTATGTTTTCCATCCAACATTTTAACATAACATTTACATTACATGTCATTTAGCTGACGCTTTTATCCAAAGCGACTTACAACATGTTACAAAAAAGCTGTTAAATATGATGATTTTCAATGATTATAATGGTAGCCATGCGTGAAACAGTTCTCGAATCTCGTCCCACAGATTCATGAACAGCATTTGAAAGCTGGACAGTGACTTTCTTGATATTAGTCCAGAACCTCGGCGGATGAGGCCAAAAGTCAGTTGATTAAGGCCGTCCAACACAGGGTGACTTAATCCAGTTTACGGCCATTATAAGCAAAAAAAAGAATGCTTAGCCTTGCAAATGGTGAACTACGACTGTCAACGGCATGATGTATGGTAGCTTATTATATTCCACTCATTATGATTAATAACGTAGGAAGGAATCCTCCATTCTTGTCGAGATGGAAAATGCAATTAGCCGCCTTGGCTGGCGCTGCAAAGCCAGGCCTCCTTTTGGCCGCTCACATCCCCAAGATAAAACACCCAGTTTACAGCGGGAGGCTCAGCATCTATAGTGCATGAAGGGCTGCACCCTTTCCTTCTGTTGTCCAAGCACGCTTTTGTCTCATTAGGATGTCGTGAATGTTAAAGCTGATATGTACCCTCAAGATATCAATGATTTATATTTCTCTTTATAGAGGAAGTATTAAGACTGCTTATAAGCAGACAAGTGGCTGCTAATAAACATAGAGGAGCATGTTTGTGTCCTAATGATGACCAAATACCGGAGGTCGCGGTCGGCCCCGTGTTCGTATTATTCATCACCGGGCAGAGGCGTGCGAGGAGCGGCCGGAGGGCCGGAGGAGGCTGATGGCCGTGGCGAAAGTGAGGGATGGCGAAGAGCAGCGGGGTGTGTGGGGGGGGTGTTGGGGGGGGTTGGAGGGGCATTCGCATCAATTCCGCTGCCGCACCTGCAGTCAAACACCTATGAGACGGATCGAGCTAAACGTCAATTAATGCCGTGGCGTCCTCGCCGGCTCGCTCTCACCCGGCTTCTGACTCCAGTAATGGCCGCGTCCAACCAGCAGACACTGATGGAAGACGGCGGTTCGGAGTGCTGTGCTTTCGCTCTTAGGTGCATTGAGCTTTTTCCTTTCAATCTGGAGAGGAGTGCAACAAATAACGGAGTTCGTTTACTGAGCTGCACGATGCAAATTTGCAATCGGGGGAATTACTTCTTTTTTTTTCTGGTGTGTTGTATGTGCGCAGCCATGTTCAAACAAAACACTCTTCGGTTTGTTTACCTCTTACAGACTTTAGCAATGTGAACAATGACGGCTTCTTCCATGATGATGATGGCGGATTTTTACAAGCTTAGAACCCTTTAAAGTATCTATGTTCAAAGCGCGGCTAATATCTTAGCGCATAAGTTAGGTGTAACACCCTGAATTCAGTTCCTCCCCTTTCTCATTCCTCATTGTTTCCTCAATCCTCACGAGGAATGAGTCCGTGTTGGCATGTTGGCAAAGGAAGCCGGGGAGCTTTATTTACAGCAAACCGATGTGACACCTTCATGTTGCTGTTGCACTCTGCGGGTTGAACTTGTCAGGAATCAGAAACCGGTCACATCCTCAAAAGAAACCAAAAAGATAGGAACCAACAACAATATGAAATCTCAGAAAGTGAACAGTCAACACCTTGCTGGCTCTGCAATCACATCTGCCCTTATTGGCCCTGGTTGAAATCCCAGCCCCCTTCTGCACCGTCTTCCTACAGCCTCAATAAAGAAAATATAAACGGTGTGTGTGTGTGTGTGTGTGTGTGTGTGTAACCAGCTATCCTATTAGAGCAAGGGAAGGAAAAACACCAATCGACTAAGACCGACTGCAGGTGGCGGGGGCCCCGTGGCCCCCGTGGCTCCGCGGGGTTCGCGGACGCCATATGAAACACCAACAAGCAATCAATTGTTTTGCGCACAGCTGGAGGCCTCTTAATAGAGCACATTTTCTTGCCGGGGCGGTGGTAGCCCCAGCAATATTTTATTTTGTGAGACATTATGTTGAGTTAATCCCTATGGTTGCCGTTCAACCGGGGCGGGGGGGGGGGGGGGGGGGACCTGGCACATTTGGAGGCACCGCGGACGCCAGTAAATTGTGCTGCATTGCACCGGGAGGCCGTGATGTGAATGATCTCCACCCGCTGTATCTTTAATGGGCTGCGCGGTGGATTTATGTGGGAATATTGCTTTGTATCACGGCGTAATTAGAGAGCAGGAAACTGGGCGCCACCACCGGACGGAAGCTGGAGCCCCTCCCCGGCCTCCCCGCCTCTCTTCTTCCTTTGGACCGCCCCTGATTGGAGGGAGGGAGGGAGGGAGAGAGAGGAGGGGGGGGGGGAGCCAGGCTCTCTAATAAATATGCACCCTCAGGCCTAATGGGCAATGTCTCTCTCTCTCTCTCTCTCTCTCTCTCTCTCTCTCTCTCTCTGTGTTCTAGCAAACACAGCACGGCACATCTTTCATTCTTCCTCAGACGTGCACGATGCCAACAAAGAGGCATTTTTTCCTCCATGTTACAAGTACATTTAAATGTATTATTACATTTCAGGAACATATACAAGGGATGGGTTTTGTAGACCAAATGTAATTGATTTTGGACATAATCTGGGTACAATAGGGAAGAGCAGATTTATACTTGTTATACTATAATGTTCATTTGTCTTCAATAACTGACTGTCACACACTATTTATTTGCAAAAGAACGAATCATATTTGCATGTTAACACAATCATTTTGATGGGCTGTGGTCATTTTGTCTTTTGCTGCCTCTCGGCTCCTAAATCCTCAAATCTCCTCATTCTGGAAATAAAGCCTTCCCATTAGCATCTGTGGTTAATGAAACGGGGGATAAATTCTAGTTGCTGATCATCATTAAAAACCGAAGCCTAATTTCCTGTGGTTTAGAAAATCAGCAGTATGTTTCCCTCTTCACAGACTCCACATCCCTGTGATGATTTGATAGTCCTTCACATAATGTGTCCACATGAATATGAAATGTGAATTTGGCTCTGCAAGTCTGTCGGCCCTTGAAGGAGGTTTGTTATCACCCAAACAGCTGATACACCCAGAATGACATCCTGTACAATAATTTATTTGCGTTTCCCGGCTCTTAATGTATCTCCATTATGAATTAGATTGTTAAAAAAAAATTGTAAAAGGAAAATAAGAAAATATTGAGTAAGTAAAAACAAGAGATGAATATGGGTAAATGAATATAATAAATAATACATACATCAATAATGGAAATGTTAATAAAAATAATATGATAACAAAGTGACATTGATTAAAAGAAATGTACACAATGAAGCATCTTTCCCTATTAACGATTATAACGTTTGAATAAACACTATTACGGCCACGGCTTTATGTCACCAGACACCGAGTGACGTCCCAGGGTTTCGTTCATTTTCACTTTTGTTTGCAGGCAGATGTCCCAGATCTCCCCCCCCCCCCACCTCTCCAGAATCGCCCCGGGCCCATCTCCTGCCCGCCGCCCGGGGTTGCGGAGGCTGATCTTCGGCCTGACAGGCGGCTGGTGGCTCTTCGATGCGCCAGAGGAAATTGAATTACCGCTCCTGTTGCCCGCTTTGTAAACACGACAAAAGCCAATGATACGGCCAATTACGCTTCCAGGCGACGCACGTGGAGAGGAGGCCGTGGAATGAGGGCGCGAGGAGCGCAAACACGCTGCACACACACTTGTTTTTGTTTTTATTTGTTTTGGAGGGATCTATCTCCAGTTTATTCAGTTAAATATAGAGCACTTTGCATACAATTGCAGCAGCATTGAAAGAATATATATAGAAAATATATAAAAACGTATAAACGTATATAAATATTATGATATGATTACGCGTTTTTCTTATTTCGGTAACTGCATAAAGAAAAATCACAGGTTAAAATGTAAGCTAAGAAAAACTGTATTACCCCGTGAATTGTTTATTTAATATGATGAATGGATGATCTCGATGAAACACCATCAATGGTCGATCTGTTTAGATTTAGTAACAAAGCAGGATGCAGCTCCCCAAATTAAGGACGGTCCCTGTTCCTGCAGCAGTTGTGCCGTCGTCGTGACTCCTGCAGACAAAAGAGAAATGCACATTAAAATGTGAATGTATTGACTAAGTATTGATTTAGAAAATATGAATGGTGCTTTAGCACATCATTGACTCATTGACATAATTGATTCATATTTGACTAATTATAGCAAGTTCTCCTAAGTCCTTCTTTAAGTAATAATATGATAATTATAGGTGTATTTTCTATTGAATGAATGACCGTGACAATGAATACAGGGACTGTCTTCACTTTCTTTCTACCCAAAGCTCCTCCACACAATGCCCTCGCGGTCGCACTATAAACCCCGATGAAAATGGCGATGGGAGTGAATAAAATAGATGGTCTTTATCAAAGTAAATTAGATTCAACTAAATAGTTCACCGGAGGGGCAGAGCAGTTCCTGTGATTCACTTTAAGGTTCACCAACTTACTCAATAAAGCTCTGGTTGAGAATCTCACTGATGTCTAATCGATAGGTTTATCTGAGGCAAACAGCGGGGAAGAGCCCAATGAATCGGTTTCTATTTAAAAGGAAAAGTGGGAAAGATGACGTTGAGAAATCTCACGTCGGGTAATGAAATGACGGGTTTTATTTCACCTTTGGTTTCGATTTGATTTTTTTCCCAAAACGGAACTCGCTTTATCAATAACGATTGAGTCAGAACAGCAACAACAACAACAATAATAGCAACAATAATAATAATAGTAGTAAATATTTACAAAGGAATTACCTGCTTTTCTTGCAACTCATGACATCCCTCCATCCTCCCCGCGCCACATTTCACCGATTTCTCCTCCTTTTTTTTTTCTCCTTTTTTTTTTTAAAAACTGTTTTTCCTCCCCCGCCTCCCCCGCCTCCCCCTCTCCACTCCGTCCAGCTCCGAGTCGTCTGATCCGGGCAGGAGGCGCCAGGTTTTCCCCCGAGGGAGGCGAGGAGTCAAGGACTGAACCCTCCAAATGCAGAATAATGTAATTCCACACTCTCAGTGAAAAGGGTTCCACGTGGCGCGCGTGCACGCTGGGGGAAGATGGAGCCTGAAGGGTGGAGAAAGGTGGTGCTTACTGCTCCGTTCTGTTCCACACTCTGAAGCAAAGAGGTTTCACAGGTTGCGCGTCCTTATAGAAGCTCACTGGTGATTAAAAAAAATAAAATATGAGGGAATGCACCCTTTAAAAAATGAGTTTGGGGGAATACATAAATAACTAAAGGACCTGTTTTATTTTCTAAAAGTCTAGGCTTCCTTTTTATGGATTAAAGAGTCAAGTTAAAACGGGTAAATAATGTTTATAATAATAATCATGCTCTTACAATGTTTATACCCTGTGTTCCAACAACAGATGTATAAGAGGCAAATTAAGTTGGCTTTGCAGAATGATGAGAAGCTCACGGAAAACTTTGATGCCTTTCAATGGAAACTTCCACCAAGACCACAGAATCACACGTGGATCTTTGGGCTGAGGAGACTTTTTAATCTGCAGCATGGATCTAAAAAGCAGGACCGTGTCTTTGGAGGTCTCTGTGCCGAAGTGACGCACAAAAAGTAGTTGCGCATTATTACGAACTGGGCGTCTGGTGACATTCCTGAAAATGAATGCTGCACTTGTTCACTGCAGTTGCATCTGAAATGGAATATGGATGAATGAATGCATGAACTAATTATTTTTCTACAGTTTTATTTCTGGGTGTAACTTGTGAAACTCAACCAAATAGGAACAGAGAGCCAAACAGGACCAGTGCGGGAGGGAGGATGCCAGGCTTCGTCAAGCTAACCTGTGACATCCTTGATTACAGAGCCCCCCCCCCCCCCCCCCCCCTTCTGCCTCAGGTCAGCCATCATTTCTGCTGTCAATTTAAATGCGTCTGTTATCGGACAACTTAGCGGCTAGACATCCATAATCCCTTCAGCCCTGTTTTTCTCCTTGTTGTCAGGGCACAATTCGGACAAGACTCCACACAACCAGCTGACAGCGGGTAAAGGAGTTGAACCATGCGCGTGCACGTTCTGTTGATACACGCGTGCGTGTTTGCCAGTATCTGTTAGTTCGGTCTACTGAAAGAACCAAATCCAACCAGATAGTTATTTATAAGCAGAGTAATAATAAAAACACAATCACGGTCCAAAAGAAGCGGGTTTTTTTTTTTTACAATGAACTGATTGTGGAAAAATATTAATAAATGACAAATAAAGAAAACGTTCACATTATAACATGCACATTTATTTATTTTCTGCTTCTCGATTTATTTTTCTCTTCGTTTAAATGTGGTTTGCAGGCCCCTGGTCCCCCCAAAACGCCGACCAGAGCCGACCGGCAGGTCGCTACTACACCGGCGAGGCACCTGTGACAGATTCCTTTTGTCTGCGCTTTGCTGGTACTTTATTACCCAGACGAGCAGCGTGGCCTGCAGATAACGATTCATCACGCACAGCCGGCAACCATAGACAACGCCTCAGGGCAAAGGCAGAGAGGCGCTCACATATTGAGGGAGAGAGGGAGAGAGAGAGGGGGGGTGCTGGGGTCCTTAATTGGCTATGGGGCCTTATTGCATTAGTAAAATTGCTGATTGTCTTGCACAACATAATTTCACGTTTGCATTCAAAAGCTATAGGTGGACTTCTTATTAGCCTATTTTATAACTAGTTTTCCAAGTGGCGTCCCATAATAAGTAAGGGATCTCCATTTAAATAATGATAATAATCATTTAACGTCCCCGGTGTTTTGCAGCCATGGCTTATTAGATAGACTTTTAATGATTCAGATGGGGGAAGAGGGTTTAGCCGAGAGAAAGGGAGAGAGGGAGAGAGAGAGAGAGAGGGAGAGAGGGAGAGAGAGGGAGAGATGTGTCAGAATGGAGAGAAATGAACTCTTCAACAAAGCGTTCAGAGAACACAGCGACTAAGAGCAGTTCATGCTGAATAATCTCATTAAATCCACTAACAACGAGAGTGCTTCTGAAAAGGGAGAACTACGTGGTCAGGTTGGTGCAGAAGGTGTTGGCTGACCCTACATGTTCTTATGGAGCTCCGATGGAAATAAGAAGCGAGAGGACATGCGGGCGAATAACGAGGCTTACTTTGTAGTTTCGATTAAAAAAAGAACCGTTTAGTCATCTTTTTTTTTTTTTTTTTTTTTGCTCTGATGAGTCTTTAATACAAACGTGGAGTTCAACGTGACATATTAGCCCGAAGAGTCCCAAACTGCACATCAGAAATCAGATAACTCTTAAGAACCATTTTGATCCCCTTGTGCTTCATTACAGCAGCAGCTCGAACTGATCCCAGAGAACGGACTCAATAATGCAACGAGACACTCGGTGTGTTGTTGAGTGTGAGATCTGGTTGTCCGGCTCAATAAAGACAACTGTGATATTGCTCGTGATGATTACAGGTTAAAGAGCATCACGTGATGAGATGAGGCAAGCTTTCTCACACCCAGGATGTCTCTTTGTCTCTGTTTCTTTCTTACTAATAGAAATACATTTTTTACTTTCTTCTTGTTATATTTTGTCTTGGTCTTTAAAATATTCTTTAATCGGCAATAAAAGAAGAAATAAATTAGATATTTCAGTGCTGTCACAATTCCATCATACAATAACACAACGGCTCGTCCACGTGCAGGGTCACCAAATAATGTGACACTTTTCTTTGAGCTGAAGGTGATTTTATTTTTTTAATCCAACAATGACTTTTATGAGTCTACCATTATATGTGTGCTACTTGATCCTGAAGTAGATTGAAGTGGGTTCTTTTTATATTTACATTGACCTTTTATTCTGTCTCATGTGATCCTATTCACACAGTGATTGGTCGTCTTATGCAACTACTTCTGGGCTTTGTCCAGGAATTTACCGATGTGAGATGATAATAACGATCTGAAACCGAAAAAAAAACACTTATAGGTCTTTGATATGGAAACGGTTCCATAATTAAAAGATTGAAAAAAAAATAGAAAAGCTTATACTTTGAGCATCTCGATCCACCCCCCAAAAATGTATTCAAATATAATGTGTGGGAACGTGTCAACTCTCCTTGAAAACTAACCTTCTGACAAATACACGGCGCGAACCAGGCCGACGGACGGACGTTTGGGAACCCCCGTGCTGGAGTAAACAACCCTGTTTGTGTCGCACACAATCAGACAACAACAAGGAGGGATGTGCTCCTGCAAACACGCTTCCCAACATTACGTCCCCGCCTCCAGGCTAATAGATCTCCCTGGTTTTGCATAAAAGGACAATTGCCTTGTCAGTAAGCTGATCTGCGGCCCGCCGCGCGCTCTCCTCTCTATTCATTTCATTGTAACGCGCAAATATAAACAGGCCTAATAGCAGCCGCTCTCGTCCCCCCGCACGTTATTGATATGGCCCCTGCATTCTCGCAATTGATTTTTATGCTTCCCCCTAGCCACCTTGTGCAGTTGAGAGATATCTTTATTCGCACGGAAAGTGAAATAAGTGCGTAATAAAACGGTGATATATTAAATCCGTTTTTCCCCGTGTCGCGCTTTTATTGAGAGACATTTTTCATTTTTATTGAATTGATACACGGAAGATCCGCGCCATCTTATTGGTTAGAAAAAGTTTGAATAATTGGTTCAAATCAGCATGTTCGTCTCCGAGATGGGACTCCAGCTGTTATCTATCCATCCATCCATCCATCATCTATCTATCTATCTATCTATCTATCTATCTATCTATCTATCTATCTATCTATCTATCTATCTATCTATCTATCTATCTATCTATCTATCTATCTATCTATCTATCTATCTATCTATCTATCCATCCATCCATCCATCCATCTATCTATCTATCTATCCATCCATCCATCCATCCATCCATCCATCCATCTATCTATCTATCCATCCATCCATCCATCTATCTATTCATCCATCCATCCATCCATCCATCCATCCATCATCTATCTATCTATCTATCTATCTATC